GCACTCGCAGACATGCTCCACTCAACCTTAACTTCGCGCCCCAGGTTGTCAAATCGCGACCTACTGCCTCCATCCCAAAAAATCCGGCAAAACAGACGGTTGTTTCAGCCCGACTGTGTCTGTCTTTCCGGCCCAGCTATCTCAAGCCATCCCAACTTCATCTCCTCCAGTTTCTGGCCCATGATACCAACTAATCCGGGACCATACCCCGCCCTCAGCTTCCTTCGTTGTCGGCCACATCAATATAAACAGACTTAATTCCCCCCGTCACTTTGCTCTTCTCGAAGCACAAGCCATTTCTACACATTTTGATGTTATAGCCATTACCGAAACTTTCCTCTCACCTGATATCTCTGACTCACACCTCGCTCTGCCCGATTTCAATTTTTTCAGGCTTGACCGAATTGGAAAGCAGGGTGGCGGTGTTGGTCTGTCAGATCTCACTTTAAATTCAGTTTCCTAGCTACTTCAGATCCAGTTTTCGATAACACGCCTGAATTCATCCTGGGTGAAATAAAGTCCGACAACACCAAGCTTTTGATGGCGGTGGTTTACAGACGTCCCTCTGCTTGCTCTCCCACACACTTTTTCAACTGCTTGGCCACTTACCTCCCTCTGTACGGAAATGTCATCATTACCGGCGATTTTAACGCAGACCTAGGTTCCAGCTCTCTGCCAGATGCTCGAGCTTTGAGATCTCTCGTTGACCTGCACAACCTCCACTTCGTATCCACTGCTCCCACTCATCACTGTCTCGATACAAATCCCCCTTCCCACACCACTCTTGACCTCTTCATAGTGAAAGACCTAAATGCTATCCAGACATTTGGAAAGTCTGATACTCCTTTTATTGCTAGTCATGATTTCATCTCGCTCACCTATCGTTTCGCTACGAACACACATATCACCAGAGTCATTAGGTCCCGCAGTTTGAATCGGGTGGACGAAGCGGCCTTAAATGGGACCCTCAGGGGCCTTCTCTCGAATCTGGTCGACATTTCTTCAACACGACTGCAGCACTCTTTTGACCCGTCGATCGAAGCCGACATGCATCCCCTTGACAACTTGGTGCACTCTCTCACTGAAGTCCTCATAAAATCCTTTAACGAGGTAGCCCCTCTTAGGTGCATCAGGTTGTCTTCTAGGCGTAAACCCTGGGTGACTCCGAGCATTCTTGCGCTTATGAAAAAGCGTGACGCTGCCTATAAACTGGCATCCTCCACCCGCTCGGGCAGTGACGTCGCTGGGTATCGAAGACTACGCAACGATGTCTCAAATCCCCAAGACTCTGCAAAAAATTCCTGCATTTCAGGCAGACTGTCTTCCGCAGCCACCAGCAAGGCCAGATGGAGAGAGTTACGAAACTTGGGAGTCACAAGGCGCGCTTTTCCATCCCCGTTTCAATTTTTTTCTCCAGCCGTACGAAACATCCACTTTGCCAACATAGTCAACTCGTCCCCTCCATTGACACTTGACTTTTTGGACGCCCTTTTAGCGAGTCCTCCAAACGTTCCTCACGTCCACTCCCCATTCAATTTTCGTGAGGTCACTTGCCAGGAGGTCATGGATGCACTAAACTCGTCCACATCCAGAACATTCGGTCTTGATGGTTTGTCTGTCAAGATGCTTAAACTCGTCTCCTCTTCTTGTCTCTCATCTCTCACGCATCTTGTCAACAAATCATTACTGTGCGGCGTCTTCCCTACCTCCTGGAAACGGTCTCTCATCACCCCTCTTGCCAAAGTACCTTCGCCCGCTCTTTTACCGGACATCAGACCGATAGCAAGGTTATCTGAGGTATCAAAGGTGCTTGAGAGGCTCGTTCATGTACAACTCTCGTCTTACCTGGACCGCCACAAGCTGCGTGATCCACGACAGGCGGGTTTCGTGCGGTTTCACAGCACCCAGACAGCTCTCCTGGGTGTCCTGGATGACGTCCGCAGGGCTATTGAGGAGCGTAAAATTACAATCCTCGTCCTGCTGGATTTCTCCAGGGCTTTCGACGTTATCCCCCATGGTCGTCTGATGGTCAAGCTCAGGGACCTATGCCTGTCTGACACTGTCCTGAGATGGTTTTTTAGCTATCAGACTGACAGGTTTCAGGCTGTTATGGGGGAGGATGGCAGGGTGTCGGATTGGCTCAGGGTTGCTACTGGAGTACCGCAGGGTAGTATTCTGGGACCATTGCTATTTGCAATCTTTATCTCGGACCTGCCCTCTGTTCTCTCCTTCATGAACTATATGCTATATGCCGACGACACGCAGGTCTATCTTCACTGTCATCCCAGCAGCCTTGCGGAGGCTTTGGGGAGGGTGCAGCTTGATGTGCAGGCTATAGCGGATTGGGCACTAGGAAACGGTATCTCCCTGAACCTCACCAAGACCAAGGTCATGATACTAGGCAGCGAACAGTACGTTAGGGCTATTAACTTGAATGACATCGTGAAGATCACCATCAACGAGGTTCCACTCGACTATGTTACCAGTGCTCGAAATCTGGGCGTGACACTTACTCCCACATTAAACTGGTCCGAACATGTGAGAAGCGTGACGAGGAGGGCATACAGCTGTCTGGCTTCACTTCGTTTCCACAGGAAATCTCTCTCGACTACCCTCAGAAAAGTTCTTGTCGAGCAACTCGTTTTCCCACATTTTGATTACCTCTCAGTGGTTTGTATTCAGCTTGATGGAGAGCGCTCGTCTAAGCTTCAAGTTGCACAAAACGCCTGCGTACGCTTCGTAATAGGATGGATCCCTTTTATACCCTCTCTATCCTTAAACAGCCACATCACGCACCATAGACTAGCCCTGGGCTGGCTATCCCTCACCCCAAATAGGTATAGAGCCCTTGCCGTTCTGGCCTACTTCGTTGTGTCCAGAAAATTGCCGCATTACCTGGCTAAAAACCTGTCTGTCCTGCTCGATGGTGTCATTATCTGGCGCTCGGGTCGCCACCCGCCGTCGGCGTTTGAATACAAGGCCCCTCGAACTGAGGCATGGAACCATTCCTTTGCTATCCTTGTTCAGAGAATACTCAACTCACTGAGCGTGACCCTGTTCTCCACCGATCGGATCCCTAACTTCAGGGATTGGACCCGTGATCTATTCTTGAACTACGAGGCTAGAGCATGGATTGAGAGGGCGACTCGCGAGAAGTTAATGCCGGTACCGGCACTGTCCGATTATACTCGCATACCAAACAGGGTCAATCCAGCCGCGTTTCTCCCAAAATTATCCATCGTCCCATACTTACCCCTCTATCGACCTATGGTTCATGAAATAGCTAATTGAATGGTTATTTTCTAGCCGAACGCACGTCGATCCACCTTTATACCTTTCCTTTTTTCAGACCTTCCTTCTGTAAAACAGAGGTGCCATTCGCGTCTTTACTACTCTTGCTATTTTTATTATTTTTTACTACTTTTAGTATTTTGTTGTTGTTACTATTTTTATTGTTTTCTATTACCTTTATTGTCTTTATTATCTTAGTATTATTTTTCATCTTTTATTATTGTTAACTTTGTCGTTTTATCTGATAACTCATTTATATTGTTCTTTATATATTTTATTTTACTATATTTTCATATTTAATTCTATTTTTATTTTTACATATATACTCTTAGTGTTTACTGTTAATGCCATTGGAAACACGCTGCTCACCGTATATACTACTCACACAGTTTCACGTAATTCATCTCCTTCAAATAGTCAAATGCGTCACTTTTCATCCTTGCATCTCCTCTTTTGTCATGTTTAAATTTTGTTATTATTTTATTATGTACATTTTCCAAACTGCCAGACAGGGTTCCACCTCATTGGCGCAATAAACGAACTAATCTAATCTAATCTCTCTCTCTCTCTCTCTCTCTCTCTCTCTCTCTCTCTCTCTCTCTCTCTCTCTCTCTCTTTCGTATGCACCAGGTGTTTTCGTCAGACGAATAGCGCGGAAGACCTACCAGCTACCTGGCCGTCTGTAATCGCGTCGAATTTTCTTTGTTTCGGGCGCCATTTGATTTCTGATTATTAAGCGCGTAAAGAATAGTGTGAAGGCGGATCAGGCAGCAGACCTGCCACCGATGCGTACTTCTTCACGGCCGCGGAAGAAATTTGTCGATCGTGGTACGACCGGGCGCTTTGTTATGTTATTCCATTAGATTTGTTATGATTCCATTAGACTTTATTTGTTAAATGCTATTATTGAGTTTTTGTTATTGAAAGAATCGTTATTGAGAAAGCCGAGTGTTGTTGTTTTTTTTCCGCTGTGTCACTCCTCATTCTGGAAAATTCATTTACGCGTATTTTAATCCGTTTAGTTCGACGGATCATTCGATCGTGGGAACGTTCACGATTCCGAATCCCCACCTTTAAAAACAACTTTGTATGGACGGCCGCGAGCTACCTAAATTGGGAATGGCTACGACTTCGATTTCGCCGTTATAAACTACAAAAATAAAAACTTTACCGATAGAAAAAATATTCAAAGGTATACTATAAATATATATTTTATAAAGGTATAAAAAAATACTCAATACCTTATCGGGGGTAAAAGACCTTGGAGTAACCCTCAAAGACAAATTTTTTCTGCGATATAAGCACATATCTGAACGTTTATCGATTACCAGTGTCAAAAATAGGGGTTCCCATTTAAAAAAATGAGGTTGTCCTCGAAATAACCTTGAAAATGAGGTTCAAAGTCAACTCCAAGATCACCATCGAATTCTTTGTTGACAGTTACTAAAGGAATGACTTTGACCTTTTTCAGAAATGAAGTACTTTAGAAAATATTCAGTCGTCCCGGGACTTAATTGACACCCTGTATATTAAACTAACAATCCTGAGTATCAATATTTTAGAAACTCTTCATCATACGAGTACAAACTTTGATGTAGGTACGTTTTTTTTACTGACTTATAACATGAATTAGATATTATTTTGGCTCATATTCAATAAAGCAGATGTTTATATGATATTTTTAATTAATACAAGTTCAATATATTTACCTGGATTAAATTCAAAACTAAACCAAGGATTTCGTTTGACATCATTAATTGATAATCTTTCTGATGGAATGTGCTTCAGTATCATTTGAACAAATAGTAAATCTGAATCCTGAAATTTTTTCCATGGTGTCAAACACTTAATGTGTCCAATTCTCCATGCAGCATATTCAGGGCATATTATAGAGGCTTGATCCCATGGTAATTCTAATATAAATAAAAATAATGGTAATTCTAATGTAAATAAAAATTAGATAGAAAAAATTAACATAGAAAATAACAATAATAATGTCGAAAGAACTTAAAATTCAATACACATATAATTATTGGAAAAAAAATATTTTAAATTGAAAAGTCTTTTAAACTTTTACTTGTTGTTATGAATAATTTTGCAAATGCAATGATAGTATATAATAATAATAATAATAATAATAATAATAATTTATTCCAGAATAGTATACATAGATGCTTACTTTAACACAACATTATTTAATAACTTTTTATATTTGTTTTATTTTCGTACATAGATTCCGCGAGCTAATATTATTTACAATCTTTGGTCCAGTATGCTTCGTTCTAATAGTCTTCCTTTCTCTTTTTCTCTTTCATTTCTTCTCCTCCCAGATTTCTTGTTCCTGTCTTATCCGAAGACTAATAGTCTCTAAATATCGCCCTCTTATCCTTCGTCAATTTCTTATACTTTCCTACTATCCTCTCAAAGGCCCTTGCATATTGACTCGTGCGGGGATCGATCCGTCCCCTAGTACTTCTCCTAATTTCCTTACTAATTCATCTCCTTCCCTCTCCCCTCTTCAGTCGTCCACCGCCTTTACCCATTCCTTTCTTATCATCTTCTTCGCTTTCTCACATGTCCAGATGTGTTGTAGATCTTCTTCTTCTTTCTCACATATTCTGCATAATTGACTGGTAAAGCCTTTGTTTACTTCTTTTCCTATGCTCCCGCATCTTATCCTTGTTCTGTTCTTATTCTTAGGGTTCTCTCCGATGTTTCCATAAGTTTTTCCTTTTCCAACCCTTGGTTTATTAATCTTTTTAGCTCGCCATTTCCTGTCTTTGTGGCCGATTCTACCCATTCCCTTCCCCATATTGTAGGATTGTTATTCTTTATCCCTCTCATTTCCTCCCTTAAGCTTATTTTTGGTAGTCTTTTATCATCTATTTCAGTAATCTTTTCTATATAGTTTGTCGCCCTCTTAATTGTTTCCAAATATAATCCTTCTATCCCTGCCTCCATTTTCCATATGTAATCTGGTGTGTTCGTGTTGATACCTAGTGCCAGTTTGACTATTTTTGCTTGTATTTTTTTCATTCCTTCTTGCTGTGTCCATCCCCATATCTCCGATCCGTGAAGACAATCTGCTTTCCCCATTGAATTCATTATCAGCAGCCTTCTCTTTAGTGTGTCCAGCTTTACTCTCTTCATTAAACCCAATGTACTGTTCACTGCCCTCTGCGTTTTTTGTGTCATTTCCTTTACATGTGTTCCGTATCCTTTTTTAGCATTGAACCAAAATCCTAAATATTTGTAGTCGTTTACCACTTCCAGTCTTTCATCTTTGTAATACGACTTTGTATTTCTTCCTAACCTCCCTCCCTTTCTTATCACCATTACTTTGATCTTGTTTACGTTTAGCTCCATTCTATTCTCTCGTTATATCCTTGCATGCTGTTGAGCATTTCTTGTAAACCTTCTTTGTTGTCAGCAATCAATACTATGTCGTCCGCGAACATAATCCATAGACTTTTTAGTTACCAAACACTGATCCCCCTTCCTTTTTATCCGTCCACATTTTATCTAGATCATTTAAGTAGATATTAAAGAGTGTTGGGCTTAATGGGCAGCCTTGTTTGACTCCTCTCATTGTTTTAAATTTCCTTGATATTCCTTTGTTCAATATCACTTCACATGTTGTTTCTCTATAGATCTCGTTTAGTATCTTAAGCATTCTTCCAGATACTCCTTCCTCTTTCAGCTTCTTCATTAGAATTTTCCTATGTCAAAGGCTCTCTTATAGTCGATGAATGCTAAATGAATACTTCCTCTTTCCCTCTTAATTTTATTCTTTATTATACTGTTTAAGGTAAAGATGTGATCTCTCGTTCCTCTTTCTGTTTTAAACCTTGCTTGGTACTTCCCTGATATATCATTCTCTTCAATTCAGGATCTAAGTCTGTCATTTAAAATTCCAGCAAAAATCTTATATCCCACATCTAACAGTGAAACCCCCCTGTAATTCTCTGCTTTATTTTCCTCACCAGTTTTGTAAATTAGATAGATGCATGCTTTTTTTCATTCCTCTGGTATTGGCCCAGTGATCCACATCTCGTTCAATGTCTTGCAATGATACTAATATAAGAGAATTAAATTGAGTCAAGTTACTTTTATCTCGCCATGGAGTGGAACCTTGACTGGTGTGTTCTATATTATTTATTAGTAATCTATATTATTTACAACTTTTTTTTCTTTTCGCACGACATAAGATTTAGTTGCATGTATCATATATAATAAAAATAAATAATTAAGTATAAATAAAACTGGGATAAGAATAGGTGAACTTGTAGATAATAACATTAAACAATGAATAGACTATAAATAATAAAGGAAATAAAATAATACAATAAAGCTAAATTAAAGGATTTTAACTAAAAGTTAAATAGTTTTTCATGTTATTAATTTACAATTTGATTGTTGGATAAAACGATATAAGGCTAGGATGTAATAAGTCATAATTAAGATAACGACTAGTTACTAAAAGATAACACAGGCCAACACATTTTAAGCTTAGAGACGAGATCTTACGTCTCCGAAGAATTTTTATGCTCTGAATTCGAATCTATGTTCAAATTTTTCCCTATAGGTCAATTTTCCAAGATATCAAACCTAAAATGAAAAAAAAACATGGTTTTTGGTTATATTTGAGATTAAATTAGATCGTGAATAAATCTTTTTTTATTTTTAAACTGATAATGCCGTCTGAAAGGAACATTCTTATCCGTTAAAGCACATTTTACAAATTGAATAAATCTCTTTTCTTCTCTGAGCTCTAGATATTTGATGTTTGTAATTTTAGTTTTCCTTCTATAAACTTGAAAAAATACCGAATTATTTTAGAAAGCAACCATACAGTATTTTCAAGGTTTTGGATCGCTTAACGCGAATTCAACAACAGAATTGAGCTCTAACATCAAATACGTGAAGTCTTCTAACCTAAAATTAAAAAAAATAATATTATAGGCTTCGCTAAAGGTTTTTTCATACTGGAACATCATTGAACGGATAAATATATAAAATTTGATTTTCGACAAATTAAATCAGCACAATCAGCGTGTTTCAAATTAAAGACAACTTAATCTTCATGCTCAAAATTCAATGACACTAGAACTAGAGCGTTTCAAACCTACGATAGGTGAACCAAGGAGTTCAAAGCCCTCAGACATTATAACCAACGAGTTTCAAATTTAAGACAGTACTACCAAAACACTATGACTTACGCATTTCAAATTTACGACAGGGTTCTAGTCTACCTTTAGGCTTAGACCTAACAGGTAATGCTAGGTGCATAAGAACCTACAATAACCTTCGAGTGCTAAACTCCAGTGGTTAACCCTCACACAAATTTTTCAGTGTTAGAAATCACGTTATAGTGGTGGACTAATGGTTGGGCGGATAGGTGATAACATTTTTATTATTTTTAATATTATTTATACTACTTTTATACTATTTATACTATTTGTGACGAGAGCAGGCCGTGTGCCGGTCTCTCGTCCGCGTTTCTCCCTCCCCCACTCAGCTAGGCGTGGTGGCCAACGTTGGGCGCATTTAAGTATGCGTCTAACACTTGGCCTTTTGTTTCAGCGCCAAGACGAGTCAGCGCAGTTGAGCGCAAGAAAAGTTGAAGAGCGCGGAGAGAGAGTGAGAAAGAGAGAGAGAGAGTATTAGGCCCATGCAGGGATTGGCAGGCGCGCAACGTGTGACCAATAAGCGACGCGTCGCGTACCGCCTAACTAATAGGTCAAGGTAGGGAGAGGAGCGAGCGCCGCTGAGCGGCTGCAAGATGCGCGCAAGAATTAGTGCGTGAGGAGAGTCGCAGCCGAGTCCTACTAGAGTGAGGGAGTCGAAGCCTAGTCCTACTAGAGTGCGGAAGTCCGAGCCCAGCAGAGAGAGCAGTTTGGGATAACCGGAAGGAAGGAAGATCAACCCTACCGGCAACGGCTTTGCCAGCAACTGCAGCCAGCCCACCTGCTAGGAGAGTCAACGTCGCTTACGGATACCTGGTCAGCGACAGCGGTTAGCGACGATCTGACCAGCGACGACACCCGGTACTTCCTGCGGCAGCGTATCGCTCAGGATTCTCGACGTTGCGAGGAACAGGAGATAAAAGGTCAAGCCTTCCTTTTCTTCTTTCTCTCTACACTCTCTCTCTCTGTTGATGCGACGACAGGTGCGTATTAAAAGAGATAGCCTGGCACTCACGTGCCGGCTATCTGAAGGTTCGCGCTAAGTTTAATTTATAGTGATGTAAGTTGCGACCGGTGAATTGTCCAGGCGCCCACGTGCCGGGCAATTTACCCGGTATTAGTTCGCGTAGTTTTAAAAAAGTTTGTAATAGGTTAAGTACGCGATTAGGTATTAGTGAAATGCGAAATGTTCATTTGTGATTATCTTAAGTAGTTTATTGTTCTATTTGCAGTTTGTTGGTCGGTAATTTAGATTATGTTATGCGCGCGTATGTTCAGTGTGAATAATCATTAATAATAATAGGTTGTAAGTGAGATTTGATTTCTGTCTTTCTATATTTCATTTATCATCCTCTCCTCGTTCTCTTCCCTCAATTGCCTTGAGCGAAAGTGCCTCACTTACTCCGCAAAAGAATTGGTAACAAAGGAACGAGTTTTGTTACATATTTTTGTTATTTTAGTGATATTACATATCACGGTTATTCTTAAGTACGGAAAATTAGACCCAAAATGAACGGATCTTCTGAGACCATCCGGGATAAGGCATTCGGTACATGGTATAGGATCATTTTACGATGTATGATATCCATGTCATATTGGACTAAGCGCATGGTCCAACGTTCAAGACGTCCCTTAGGGTCCTTTAGTGACTGCAACCATCTCAGCAAACTGTGATCCGTGATAACCGTAAGTTGAGTACCCTCTAGATAGTGTTGCTATTTTTATAC